CTCCCCACTCACCTGCATACATGCCCATCCCTGCACTGGCCACCTGAGGCAGCATGGAGGCTCGGATGAGGCGACCTTTGGCCCTGGTGTGTAGGTCATAGACAGTCAGGTGCACGTAGTCGTACTCCTCCACACCGGCCAGTCTGACGTCACCGTTGCTCGTTTGGCGGGAGTCCTTGGAGTCCGCATTCCTTCCGAGATTTTCCCCATTCCATCCGAGATTTTCCCCATTCATTTTGGGATTGCCAGCTTTCATTTTGGTATCTTTGGCTCTACAAGCAGGAGAGAGCTGACCATTGCCGTTTGAATCCGCTGCTGTCAAAGATTTCACGTCCATGCTTGCCACTTGCTGTGTGCCTGCGGGAACGTTGTGAGACATCGGTAATTGGGAACATTGGTTATTGGAAAAAATCGGTTTGCGGAAATGTAGGTTATTGGGAACACCTGTTATTGGGAACATCGGTTAATGTAAATATCGGTTATTGGGAATATCGGTTATTGGGAACATCGGTTATTATAAGCACCTATTATTTGAAAACATCGGTTTTTGGGAACATCGGTTATTGGGAAAAATCGGTTATTATAAACATCGGTTATTAAGAACATTGGTTATTAGAAACATCGGTTATTGAGAACATCGGTTATTGAGAACATCGGTTATTGGGAACATCAACTATTAGGAACATCGGTTATTGGGAACATCTGTTATTGTGAAAAACCGGTTATTGGCAACATCGGTTACTGTAAACATCGGTTATTAAGAACATCGGGTATTACGAACATCGGTTATTGAGAACATAGGTTCTTGGGAATGTCAGTTATTGTGAATATCGGTTATTGTGTAACATCGGTTATTGGGAAACATCGGTTATTAGGAAACATTGGGTATTGTGATTCTTCCAACTCCCCATAGAAACTTTTGAAAGTACCCCAGACTCCAGATGATTAGCATGACAAGCCCCGCCCAGAACAAATGATTGTCTTAAGACTAAGAACACAACGCACTAGACTATATATAACGTCGCAGTTACATATTATGTTTAAATCTTGTACAGTCACCGTATAGTTAGTTTTAGTTTTAGTTTTAGCAGAAGTTTTACGGTGCTCGCAACTGCATAAGGTCATATGAACGCCAAGGGGTTGATGTCAACAGAGAAGTCCTTGCAGGGAATCAGACTGTTACAGGTACTCACTGTTGCTGGTACTGAGACATGTACTCACTGTTACATGTACTCACTGAAGCAGGTACTGAGACATGTACTCATTGAAGCAGGTACTGAGACATGTACTCACTGAAGCAGGAACTAAGACATGCGCTCATTTTAGCAGGTACTGAGACACGCTCTCACTGTAGCAGGCACTCACTGCAACAGGTACTGAGACATATACTCATTGTAGCAGGTACTGAGACATATACTCACTGTAGCAGATACTGAGACATTACTCACTTTAGCAGGTACTGAGAAATATACTCACTGTTACAGGTACTGAGACAGACACTCATTGTTACAGGTACTGAGGCATATACTCACTGTAGCAGGTAATGAGACATGCACTCACTGTTGCAGGTACTGAGACATATACCCACTGTTACAGTTACTGAGACATATACTCACTGTTACAGTTACTGAGACATATACTCACTGTTACAGGTACTGAGACATATACTCACTGTAGCAAGTACTCACTGTAGCAGGTACTGAGACATATACTCACTGCTAGCAGGTACTGAGACATATACTCACTGCTAGCAGGTACTGAGACATATACTCATTGTAGCAGGTACTCACTATTGCAGGTAATGAGACATGCACTCACTGTTACAGGTACTGAGACATATACTCGCTGTTACAGGTACTCACTGTAGCAGGTACTGAGACATATACTCATTGTAGCAGGTACTCACTGTTGCAGATAATGAGACATGCACTCACTGTTACAGGTACTGAGACATATACTCACTGTAGCAGGTACTCACTGCAACAGGTACTGGGACAGTCACTCACTGTTACAGGTACAGTGACATATACTCATTGTAGCAGGTACTGAAACAGGCACTCACTGTAGCAAGTACTGAGACAGGCACTCACTATTACAGGTACTGAGACATATACTCATTGTAGCAGGTACTCACTGTAGCAGGAAATGAGACAGGCACTCACTATTACAGGTACTGAGACATATACTCATTGTAGCAGGTACTCACTGTAGCAGGAAATGAGACATGCACTCACTGCTACAGGTACTGAGACATATACTCATTGTAGCAGGTACTCACTATTGCAGGTAATGAGACATGCACTCACTGTTACAGGTACTGAGACATATACTCACTGTAGCAGGTACTCACTGTTACAGGTACTCACTGTAGCAGGTACTGAGACATATACTCATTGTAGCAGGTACTCACTGTTGCAGATAATGAGACATGCACTCACTGTTACAGGTACTCACTGTAGCTGGTACTGAGTCATGCACTCACTGTTACAGGTACTGTGACATATACTCACTGTTACAGGTATTGAAACCAGAGGCGAAGCGTCTATATAATCAAATAATCACTGCTTCCCTTCCTAATTTTGAAACATTGTCGCAGTCAAATTCACCAATAGACGTAAACCTCACAAATTAAATGTAAAAAGACGTTCATAATCACCAATGAACAATAGACTATGCCTAACCTTCAAAACCGTTTTTCATTGCCACAAAATATAGCCTGTTCGCCTCTATCGGGCCACTCCATAAGCAGTCACAAGCTTTGATTAAGTAAGCTTAAAGTGGGGCTGGAAGAGTCAACCATTAGAGTTGAAGGGAACATGTGCATAGCAGTCAGAACTGTTTCATTGTCGCATATACCCTGTTCACCCCTTTCGGGCCACAGTTATAAGCACCCAGACGCGCTGATTATTTAAGCGAACTATTACACTGGTCGAGTCTACCTCACAGATGTGAGGGGAACTAACTCCTAATAAACCTTTGACTCCTGCTACTACACTGCTAGTGCTTGTTTTTTTCCCTCGACTTTTTAACGTCCTATAATCAGATCGTGACCTCGATTATGACACCTGCTCCTGGCCGCGAAAAGCTAGACAAAAAACAGCCAAATGTGAAATAAAAAATGAATAATTGGCATGCTCTACCAAAGTGTTTCTTCTGTCTGCCATTGTAGTGCTGACATCTCTGCTTTTTTCCTTGGTGTTCGTGTGTTCAAATCTAAAGTTAAATTTACGGTTAGTTAGAATAAATATTTAATGAAATACTTTCCCGATTATTTTAGCGGTTGAACAAGCATACAACATGAATTCAGGATTTGTTTTCATTCACAACTCAGAGTTGCCGCCTCCAGTGCCAGTAAGATTCTTGTGACTTGTGTGAGTGTGATATCTCCTGGCTCCCCAGGCCCTATCTGGTCCCATTTCAATTTGATTACCCTGTCAAACAAGTCAGCCTTCGCCCCTGACTGAGACATATACTCACTGCAGCAGATACTCACTGTAGCAGGTACTGAGACATGCACTCACTGTAGCAGGTACTGACGCATGCGCCCTGGGCGTGCAGCCCTGTAGACAGCTATCATGGACACCCACCTTCTCGCTCCCCCCTCCTCCTGCCCGGTTTAGCCTCGTCTGACGGGGCAAGGGTTCAGTCTGTCTTTCAACAATGTGAGAAATCCCAAAGTGATTGTATTTGGAGCATCACCCCCCCCCCTTTTCCTCTCTAAAAAAAGCAAGCAAAAACAAAAATTGAAAAGAAACGAAACAGACAAAAATAAGTTTATTTCTTGAATGTATTTTTCGTGTGTCCTGACACGGGCCTTTAAATAACAATAGAACTCTTTTGTGACTTTTCAGGTGACCGAAGTTCTTGTAAACAACAGTAATTCTCCCAACGCTCTAACGTTTTCCCACATCTAAGAGGCAGGACCTCCGATATGACCAGGTCAGACAGCCGCCCGGTCTTGTCAACTCCTACATTCACCAACGTCCATAGTTTGAGTATGCATTCTCGGGATTGCAAGCACGGTCATCACACACTACTTCCCCACCACGCCAACTGAACTAACAGACACACGGCTTCCTACTTCCCCGCCACACCAACTGAACTTACGTCAAGTCCGTTTTGAAAAGAAAAAAAAAGGAACAGTTGTTGACTTTTTAAAAAGTGATAGATGATGACGCACTTCGTCGGGTTTTGAAGTCAGTTGGGAAAATGCAGTTCTTAAAAACAAACACGAGGAGTATTTATACGCCTCTAATAAACTCTTTTTAGGACAGGTTCACAGTTCAGATAGTTCCGGTTCGGTAACCCCATGTTCGTAATAACAGTTCAGAAAAGGTAGATTCGGTGACCTCATTAGTATGGTGACAGCTTGAGCCCTCATTTCTTTGCCTGTGGCCTTTTTGCATTGACAGTACATTCGCAGATGTCATCAACACGGTGGAGTAAATGAGAAAAATTCATGAGAACATTGGAAAATTTACTAAACGCTTACAAAATGAACTCGGATATTCAGGGGGATTACTCCAGTCGACAAACCGAAGCTCAATAATCCGTGATACTGAATAAAAAGAATCGTTGACCCGAAAAGAAGACCTTTTGTTTCTGCCGTTATTAGATCTAGATCCATCCTGTTACAGTGAGGCGAACAGCAGGTGATCTCAAACTACACAAAAAATCGTTCACCGGAGCAGACGACCTATGTTGAAAACAGTTATTATCTTCCTCTGGAAGTTGTTGACCCGGGGGTACTGCGTACACTTGACTAAAGAGGGATTGTTTTTTGTGATTGTTTTTTTTTTCCATTTGGCCAGCCATGATGCGCACACTGCGCATCGAAGTTTTTCTGGAAAGTAAGAAACGTTAGCCAGGACAGGATATCACACGTTTAGTCTGTGGTAACAATGCTGAGACTGACAGTTGTAAAAAAACACGACAACAGGAATGACCAGAGAAAACCTACATCATTTGGTTTGGAGAATCTCCCTCTGCTCCCCCCTCCTCCCATTTCCCATTTCTTTTCATGAACACCGAAAAGGGATCTGTCTGAAGGATAAAGTTTGTCAGACCTGCCCAAACGACCACCTGTCCAAGACAACCATTTGTGCAAAAGGCCACTTCCCTCATCCCCACTAACGTTTGGTCTTTGATACGTCTATGATGGTGACACGGTCCAAGATGACCAGTTTTCTCGCCAGTGGCTGGTCGTCCAGGAAAAGTTGGACTGATGTTTGTCTCGACGGTCTGTTTTGTCACCTGCAAACACCGTCACTATCCGGAATTCGGACCAGGGACCTATTGAACGTCAGGCGAACACCTTAGTCTCTAGACCGCGAGAGCCCCCTGATAATGATAATGATAATGATAATAATAAATAACAAA